TGGATATCCGGCGGAGGCGAAACCGCCACGTGTACCGGAATGGACTCCCGGCTTGAGGAGCGTTCCATACCACTAAATCACTGGCGTGTAGGTATACAACTAGGTAGCTTTCTAATTGCACTGGGTTGTCTGATCCTATATATAGTTTGATTCTATATTTTAAGTTAGAATGTAACGAATTACACTCAAATCCGTTGTGCGTTTAAGCATGATTCAGTAACAAACATTCAAATAACAAACTTACATTTGTATTACTAGATTTTACCAAAGTCCAGAGATTACCTAAAACATGCTATTTTTTAAGACATACTCATACAAAAATGTTTCTGGAGCACAGTCGAATTTCTCGTTTGTTTTTTTAACTGTTTTCTGGACTAGGTGTCAGAATATAACATTGGCTATACCAACGTTCATTTAATTATTTCTTTCTGTTTTTATAAATCTATTTCTTTCTATTAAAAAATCAACACAAGTTTATCAAATATCTTATAAGTAAAAAAAATTATACTTTATTGCCTGATTCGCTAAATAATGCTTAAATCTATTGCTAATTACTTCAAGTGTAAGATTACCTACACTGTACTCGAAGTGAAATGAATTAAACATACTTCACACAAAGTGAATTTCATTGTTTGTGTGTTACCGTTTAACGACATAATCCCTCAACCAACAATAGTAGTAGACACGTAGTATTTGGAATGGAAAAACACATAAGCTATTTATGTTATATCTATCACGTAAGATCACTCATATGAACTAAGTTGGAAATAAGAATGGCATAACATTAAAATGTTATTTACATTTTAATAATATATCAACGCCTTGATACAATATCAAGAAATTAAAATGTTGTAACTGTGTAACCTATTATTTTCTTTTTTTAATTAGTTATTATTATTTTTTTATCTCTACCAATTCGCAACTTGGTAAGGTTAGGCTTTATTCATACAGGATATTTCTGTCACTAAATTATACACGATACAACGACGAAGGAATCCGAAAACTCGCCTGTCGGTTAGCTTTAGTTTTGAAGCAAGTCAGCAATGAGGCGAGTACACTTGTCGATTGCAGAGCGGCGTCGCGTGCAGTCCGCGACAGATTTAATGTTTGTTTAGAGCGTAGGTACAGTCGGCCGCTATATTTAGTACGCGGTTGCGCTGCACATTGTAATACACAGTACAAATGAGTCAATGTAATAAGTCATAAGATCACGACTGTTTTTCTCTTTAGAGTGAAATAACAACGGAAATGTTATTATTAAATTTTCTATTACGATGAATTCATGTTTTGGTAGATTATCGATCCGGCCCAGCTTACCCGTGCGAAGCTCGAATATTGAATTTTTCAAAATAAGTTTTATATATATATATATATATAGTTACTCGCTGATAATCTAGCTTTCTATAGGTGAAAAAATTGTATTGTTAAATCTTTAGTGTACATATTTATATTAGATACATTAAAATATTTAATCATTTTTAAAATAGGTGGAGTAGTTTTGGCGTTAGTCCATTACAAACAAACAAACAAATCTTTCCTCTTTATAATATTAGTATAGATATACTTATATTAATTCAGAGGGAAACTTAAGTATTATAATTTAGCTTAGTACAATAAGCGTCTGTATGGGTACGTCTGTCCCACTTGTGTTTCTGCTGTGAAGCAGCTGTTTCAATTTAAAGAGTAGGATATTACAGATAATGAAAGCATAACATCATAATCACCATACCAGCCGTTAACTGTTCACCGCTGAACACAGGTCTCCACCATAAGGAGTTTTTGCCAATGGTTGCCACGCTTAGCAGATGGATTAGCAGTTAGACCTTGGTGATGTTCTAAAAACGACTCTACTACCCATTCCTCGACCATTATGTTCCCTTAGTCGCATCCACGGGGGGTCCATTCTATACATGAACCACAAGACGACAACCATAACACCATAGACTTCAGAAATGGCAATATATGATAACTATTATGTACATCACAGTATATTTTATTATGTCCATGCTGTTCATGTATATATTACATTCCGTCAGTTTGTTTGAAAATTCTAAGTTGCGTAAAAAACAATAAAAAATAAAGAATTCGTAAAGAAGTTACATTTAGATTCAATTGTTATAATTTATTTTGACTATAGTTTAATTGGAGTTAAAATTTATTTTTAATGGAAGATGTACCTTCAACAGGCGAGCTTAACTCTAGAAGAGTTCTCATCCAGCAAACTCTGAGTGGAAAAAAGCCGTATTTACCAGCGGGCAGTGTGCGTACAATAAGAGGTGGAAACGTTGTTGTTATGATGTCTCATTCATCATTAAAATTATGTCATAATATTATTTTATACTAATTGTATTGTATTGTAAAATCTTTATTGTACACAATTCATACTGAATACATTAAGTGATTTAATATACAATGGCAGACTTACCCCATAAAGGGATCTCTTACAGTCAACCTTTGAGAAGCTGAAAGAAAACTGTAGAATGTACAAGGGTAATAACCGTACAGCTAAAAATGAACCAAATAATACCCAGTAAAAGTTATATTATAAAAATAAATGATTCGGTTGTTTATTTGTTTGTTAGTAATCGATTAGCTCAAAAATTACTCAATTAATTTTTAAAATCATTTCACCTATAGAAAGCTATATTATCAGATAGTAACGCAGGCTATATATTGTAGGCCCCTCATACATACGCCTACATAATTATTATATTATTTTCTAAAATTATATCTATCCGTGCGAAGCCGAGCCAGTTTAAAATATTTATATTTAGTTCAACTGCTTTTTTATTGTAAAATTATAAATCTACATGTAGGTATGCAATTTCGCATTATAAATTTATAATATATATTGTACTTAACATCTTGTGATCATCAGTGTTTTGTTTAAAATAATTTATAATAAATAAATAATATTTTATAAGGTTTAAATTTAATTAAAGTAGGTAAAAGTTTTATAAGAACATATTGTATTTTCATGTAGTAAATAGTTATTACATTAAAATAGTAAGATTATTAGTCAACATAGATTGATTCATTATATAGACGCTGCTTTTTGACTATCAAAATATGTATATGTTTAAAGTTCGTTGGAAAAGAGCTCTTTTAGTAATAAAGTAATATTACTAGTTAGTAGTAGGATTTTTCTTGTATTTTTTTTTGTTTTTACTACGTCTCTCACTTCTCTCTCTCTTTCTCTATGTTTAATAATTCTGCTGTGTGTATATTAAATGTTGGAAACGATTTTTTTAATATTTTCCAAAAAGAGGAAATCCGGTCAACCATACTGATAAAACAAATGGAGAGAATATTTTTTTATTCACTACTTGCACGCAATAGGTAATATGCCTTATATTTGAAACATTAAAGCATTTAAAATATAATATATATTAACATTACCTTATTTATTCTCGATATGTTCACGGTGTCTACTCACAACATCTTCAAAACCTTTTCAATACACACATCTTCATTAACAATTCACCAAAAAGACTCAACAACGAAGATTCAATAATATATTCACACATAAATAAAACCCATAAAAGAATTACTAACAACAATAAATGTTATTTTTATTTAATGTACCGTTAATAATTACACACTCACTGTAAACATTGAAAGATTACGTGTAAAGTTCGTTTTACGTAAGTAAGTTCGCGTTGGGCGGGCGGGCAGTAAATACGTCGGCTAGGGCGGGCGGCACGCACGCCGGCTCGCGGCACACTGTCTACAGTGACTGAAGGAATGCGCTAAAGGGCGGGCTGCATATATAGTACATCTATTTGTACTGATATGCGTTACTAAACATGCCAAGAAAGGTACAGGTTTAATTGTGTTTTGAAAAGTGTTTAAGAAAATTTTAGAAAACTCCCCTTAGATTATATAAATAGAGTCCATCAACTCCATACAAATGCTTCGAGAAAAGCAGGTCATTTTTTTCATACAGTTTTGCGTGACAAATAGTTATGAGTGTTTCCTTTATTAACTTCTTGGTTTATTTTGTACTCATTTTATTTATTAAATAATTAAATATAGATGTCGAGAATCGAGAATCGAGAATGCGCGTAAGTATATAGAACACTGATAAAAAAACGCGTCAGCTAATTGTCAATTAGCTAACAAAAAATGGATTCTTTTTTAAGACTCGATGCTCTATCTACATAATCTAAAGAACTCCCATAATAAAATCCATAAGTATTTATTACATGTGATATGTATTTTCAGAGGTTCTAAATTCAACTGTTTTTATAGCATGATATAGTTCTGTTCGATTTTTAAATATCATCAGCCTTTAACTGTCCACTGCAGAACATAAACCTCCCCCTTGGGGGGTTTTGTCAGTAGTTGCCATGCTTGGCAGGCAAATTGGCAAACGCAGTCAGGCTTTAGAGATGTTTTAAGAGGGACGCTGTTGCCTATCCTTCGCCCTCCTTTAGTCGGTTCTTACAACACCCACGAATGACCACACGGCCAAAACATGCCAATATAGCACAGTAATAATACTGTGGTCATCTTAACGTACCGTCCTTCACTGGTTCACCGTCCGCGTGGGGGGAAGGGATTGTTAATAATGGGATCTAACAGCCCCATTACTAACAATATACCCTATCAGAAACCATCGTGGTTAATTCTTGTGAAATTCGTCACGATGGGCTAATTGACCTGCTTTCATCCTCACCTGTCATCTATCACTGGTGCCCTGCCAGCGTATAGCGATAGCGCAGGCGGGGTAACATTTCCATTATCATCCATAAAAAAAACCGTCAGCGTAAACTGATATCGTAAACGGCGGTTACCATTCCATTATCACCTATTTAAAAACTCCTCTATCTTCATCCACGTAATAAAATAATTTGGCACATATCAAGTATGTGGCAGCAGCAAAATAGATGGCAATCTACATTAGTCGCGTTTAAGAAACAGGATACGAGCGGGACGCGTGTGGGCAGCGAGGAATTTATTTCGTAACGGTGGTCCGCAAGGCACCCACTTGGGCCCGGGGCAAACGGCGGCCGCCACCGATTCGCTACAGCTTTATGCTTATTACAAATAGTGTTCACATACCTTTATACCATAGATAATTAAAAATGCAAAGGATAGAAGATTTTTCAAAACCACTGTGTTTGTGACACCTTTAAAAATTTCACAGTTTCTTTTTGTTTATAGAAAATTATAAATTATAAGTGTTTCAGTGTAAAGGACGAGAAAGAAATCTACGTGACTTCGTTATAACGGTAAGTTTTAATTCACTATTTGTTCTGATATTACTTTAGATATTGTTTTATGTTATTTCTGACAAGATTAATAAAATGGTAACAAATGTTTTCGCAAAAACTTTTGACTTCAATAGTGATTAAATTATTATTAGCTGTTATGAAACCAAAACGGAAGCAACTGTTACCGACTGTAGAAAAATACAAAATGGCGTGAGACGAAGATATTATGTTACTTACATACAAGAAAATATAGATGAATTAATGACTCATTTTTGACGTTCAATAATTTAAGAATGTGTCCCACAAAATAAAACCGACTTTAAATGTGGTAAAACCAGTTATTGTTATTTAAAAACTAAACTACAGATACCAGGGGTTAGGGATTGTTAGTAATGGAGACTGAGAATCTCATTGCTAGCAATATACCCAACCAGGTCGACCTCTTCGCGGTTCTCCCTGAAAACTATCATGGTTAATTCCTGATGAATTCATCATGATGGGCTAACTGGCCTGTTTTCATTCTCATCTATCACCCTTCACTGGTGCTCCGCCAGCGTATCCCGTTAGCGCAGGCGCAGTTATCATACATCATCATGGGGAGTGTTCTGAGGAATTGTTCGGATTGATACCTGCTGCTGATTTTCACCACCGTACAAACCGCCACAAACTAAAGTTTCATCCCAATCATCTGGACGAGTGGCGGTCTTCCACCGTGCGTTTTTCAAGGCACTTTCTTCCACGCACAACCATTCTTTGGAATCAACTTCCAGCAGCAGTATTTCCGAACCGATACGACAACATAACCTTCAAGAAAAGAGTATATTCCTTTTTAAAAGGCCGGCAGCACACCTGCAATGCCGCTGGTGTTGTGGGTGATCATGGGCGGCGGTAGTCACTTACCATCAGGTGAGCCGCACGCTCGTTTGCCCCCTGTGTTGTAAAAAAAAAAAAAAAAAAAACCATTTTCACCCATAAAAAAAACTACAGATACCCATTTTTATAAAATTTCTATGAAACCTGTCTATAAGTATATTTATGTAAAAAAAATCCAAATTGCTTTACAACAGACAGAGTTATGGTATAACAAACATAAAAAAGATTGCAACCGAATTAAAGAACCTTCCTATTTTTAATGTCGGTTGAAAACAAAAATGGATACCACAAATATATTATAAATGTAGTAGCTACTTAGAGCGTTTAAAACTCTAAGAGTAGCTTTGATACATTAAACAATTAGAAAAAACTACTTCTTTTTAAAGTTGGTAACCATGATCCACGGTACTTTTTTTTAAATAAAATGCAGCTTTCTGTAAATGAAAGATATCTTTAAACAATAACATTAACATTTAAAACATCTTTAAAGCTTAACAACGATTGCCAATTTGCCTGCCAAGCGTGGCAACTACTAGTAAAATCCTCCAAGGCTTATGTTCAGCAGTGGACAGTTAAAGACTAATATGGTAATGATATATTTTTAAAAAGTGTTAAGTAATTCTCGAATTTATCCATTATAAACAAATATACAAAAATCAAATCTATCCATCTCTACAATTTTTTTTTAATCAGTGAAAATGTATTGGTATCCCCACCCGCGTTATCGATATACACCGACGAGGCACCAGTGGAAGATGATAGGTGAGAATGAATGCAGGTTAGTTAGCCCACCATGATGAATTCGACAAGAATTAAACATGTTGGTTTCCAGGGGGAACCGCGTGGAGGTTGACCTGAGAGAGTATATTGCTAGTAATAAGGCTATTAGACCCCATTACTAACAATCCCTTTCCCCCAGATCTCTACAATATTAGTAAGAAAAAACAATGTATTAATATTAACATCACACGAACTCCTACTTTAATACGTACAAACAGAATGTCGCCACAAATATTATAAACAGTGGATTGAACCCGGCACCGGTCGATAGCATCACCGTTGCACTGCGATGCGCCAATTTGCATCCGTGGGAATGCGCCCGCGCACCGTAACTGCAAGCGCTTTATTGTTAAATGCTTCCGTAGCTAGTTTAACCAGTAACACTGCGGAGACACCACCTGGCTGCAGCTAGGTTTTTTATGAAAGAGCTGCATACTGGTCGTATGTTAGCTTAGGACGGGATGGCCCCTTGCTATTATAAAAAAAAAAAAACAAGCTTGGAATAGAAAACAAGCTGACGGCTCACCTGATGACCAGTGATAACGGTTGTCTGTAGACATATACAGCACTATGGATATAGTACCCACAGTTTCCCTTATGCGTAGCTTTTTCTAAAGACTAGTATACATATAACGCCTCCGTACACTTTTTTTTTATACAATTTAGAATGGTAAAGAAGCTGACGGCCCACCTGATGGAACAGTGGTAATCGTCGCCTAGAGACATGAGCAGTACCATGGACATAACAAAGTATATTGTTTCGCCCATGATACCCCCCATGCGTTGCCATTCCTGAGGACTCAGATGTTATTCCTCTGTACCCTGTAAATTCACGCCATATCCCACCCTTCAAACCGAAACACAGCCATGCAAACACAACTGCTTCACGGTAGCACGGTAACACGAATAGGACAGAGGTAGCCAAACAATCGACTTTTGTACAAAGTTTCCCTCTGGTGAAACTGGAATTTCACTGGCATATCCATTTGAAACCTAAACATAACTGAGTAAGCACAATTAAATTGCAACTAATACACGAGAAGGACAGAGGCAAAAGTAGCTGACTTATATTTATTACCTCCTTTGGTAAAAAATTTAAGTTTACAAACAGAACCCCCAAGTCGAAGATGAAAGGACATATTCTTTTTCCTGTGTAACTAAAGAATTATTTGACATGATGTCCACAGCTACCTTTAAACGTCACTCCTCTTGCTGTTGACAGGTCACTCATCCTTACACCTTAGAATCTAAATGATCGTCACGTACAATTTCTGAGATTTTCCTCTCGTAAACGCTCAAGTTATGGAATGAATTTTCTTCATGGTATTCTCTGGAGACTATAATACGGAGTGCCCCTGCTATTTTAGGTTTTCATTCCAGACTCTGTAGTAACAGATTACCATCATAGAGGCCTTTTTATCGCCTCAATCATAACTTATTACGAGACACAAGTCTCTCGAGTTTGAGTCGTGACAAAGCCAAAGCAGTTGTATTTGCATGGCTGTGTTTCGGTTTAAAAGGTGGGACATGGCAATGGATTTACAAGGTACAGAGGAATAACACCTGAGTCCTCAGAAATGACAACGCATGGGCAGTATCATAGGCGAAACAGTATACTCTGTTATGTCCACGGTACTGCTCATGTTTATAGGCGACGGTTACCACTTTGCATCAGGTGGGTCGTCAGCTTATTTGCCATTATAAGTTGCATAAAAAAAAACACCTTAAAAACCAAGTTCTCTGAAGAAAGTTTTACCAATAATCTAAAAACGAACTCAACCAGTTCAGTGCGAACTCGTGATATTTAAACCGAAGCTGTTCCCACGTGAATAGAATGAACACGAGTAGATACATTATGTATAAGTGTAAAGTACATAGATACAAGTCGCAAGTACGTATCTGTTGAAGTGACAAGTGACATATCTCAACGCGCTGTCGAGGGACCGTGGCAAGAACGTCGTAACATTAAAGGCTAGACGTGAAATGTCTAACTGTCTAGCACGATGCTGTTAGCTTTATTTCGTTGGCATAAAATAACGGAATTACAGTCTTTTAATTACTATTATTTTTCAACATTTCCAAAATGAGAAGTCCATCTAAGAATGAGCCGATTTTGATAATGATATTTTAGTAATCAAATCCTAATCATTTATTGCACGAATATGTGTATATACAATAGATAATATATATATATATATATATATATATATATATATATATATATATATATATATATATATATATATTATTGATTGCATTGATGGACGAACGTGCAAACGACTATGACGATATGTTTTATTATGACTAAAGTTGCTATTTTTTGTTTGTATTTTTCGTAAGTTTAGGTAAAACGTTCTTTTGTCCCATGAACATCATAAGAGGCGACTAAGGGAGGGCGATGGGATGGGCAGCAGCGTCCCTCTTAAAACATCTCTAAAGCCTAACTGCGGTTGCCAATCCATCTGCCAAGCGTGGCAACTACTGGCAAAACCCCCCAAGGGGGAGGCTTATGTTTAACAGTGGACAGTTAAAGGCTGATATGATATAATCATGTATTCCTACATATAAAGATAGATAAGTATACAGATAAGTACCAAAGGGAGACTACTAAAGTCGATTGCTTGGGTACCTCTGTCCCATTCGTATTTCAACCGTGAAGCAGTTGTGTTTGCATAACAGTGTTCCAGTTTGAAGGATATGGCAGTGAATTTACACGGTACAGAGGAATAACACGTGAGTCCCCAGGAATGGCAACGCATGGGGGATATCATGGGTGAAACAGTATACTCCGTTATGTCCATGGTACTGTTTATGTCTATAGGTTATTATGTGTATAGGCGACGGTTACCACTTTCCATCAGGTGGGCCGTCAGATTGTTTGCCATTTTAAGTTGTATAAAAAAAAGTATAAATAAAGTTTCGCATATTCGACTGCGCGGACGCAGCCGCGCCTCGCTTGATTGAGTGCCATCTTGTTAAATACAATGTGGCATTAATGAGCAACTGCCGTGCGCCCGCGCAACTTATCTGGTCAATATCAAAGCGCGGACGCGTACATGCAGCAAAAACACGATGACATCGTGCCGGATATTTTATTTATGACTTTATTTTTATCATATAAACCTTCGATGGGTATATTTCTTAATAATTTCTAAAAGATGAAGGTTCCCGACGCGTATTTTCTGTATAAATGTTACTCTATTACTCTTACATTGACACTTTTGAACTGATTTTGACATTGCAACTGCAAATGCAAAATTAACGGGGGGAAACGGATTGTTAGTGATGGAGACTAAGTATCCCATTGCTAGCAATATACCCAACCAGGTCGACCCCCTCGCGGTTCCCCCTGGAAACTATCATGG